AACTAAATTGAATATAATTAGAACTCCTAAAAAACTTATCAAATCTAAGGAGAATCTTTTATTCAAAATCTATAATTGGAGGACATTTGATTGATTATATAGGGAGAGAAGCATGACAATTATGCAACTATAATTGTGTTTGACAATCAAAAGATCTATCCTCATCAACCACTCAAATGCTGTTGAAAAAAGTGATTATAAATTGTATAATTTATAATCTGAAATGGTTTCAATAAGTTAGTATATAGTAAATAATCTCTGTAAAAGATAAGTTCAAGAGTGAAATCCAAGCTTAAAATATTTTAATTTTAGTATGATGTGTCATAATTTCTATTTTAAAAAGCAGTCATTAGACCTATGAGAATAGTAAACCAAATTGAATAATATAATAGTAAAGAGATATCAAACAAATAATTCTATGAGTTTGATGAAAATGAGGCATTATGATTGTCTATTATGGTTTTTTTCTATGATATGAACAGAGGTACATGACTTTCTATAAATAGACTATGTCTTCTGCTGGTCTCAAGATAGGGCCTGACAAGTTCTAAATTGTGGAAGTTAGCTTACTTTATCAACAGGTAACAAATGCTTGATTATAGTGATAGTGTAGTTCTAGTCATCTGGATAAAAGGATCTTAGTCGAGTCTAAAGGTTCTAATTTGTGATTATTTTAGTCTCTGGGATTTATCTTTTGCTGAATCAACTGTTGACTTGTAGAAGACTAGTAGCAATCTTCATGAGATTGTTAGAGAAGCTTGCTAAGTTTCATACAAATGCTCACCAACTAATGACATGGCTACTGTTTCAATATTTTCAATTATGGTGTTGCTATCATTTATCACAAGTTTCAGCATCCACGCCTTGTGGTTTGTATTATGCGCCTTGCAAGCATAAAACTGGCCTCTGAATCAGTATTTCTTCATGCCAATTCCTAGTTTATTTAATGAGATTAAGTTAGCAGCAGCTGTTGTGATTATTGTTTGCAATTCCTAATATCACATATGGTAAAAAGTTTAAATTTTCATGATAATTCCCGTAGAAACATTTAAGTCATGAAATGCTTATTATAACATCACGACAATCATCATGATGATTAGCTTGTTAGCAAATTGCTTCATGGTTCATGCTACATGGATATTTCACCTGCAAAAACTTTCTTATAAATTGTCATTTGTGATGCTTTAGTCATATGTTGAGGCTTATCTTTCTTTTATTTTATGATCAAGGCATATTTTTTCTTTTGTTCATTAGGGACAAAGAGGCACAAAGCATTGAAGCTTCACTTATTGGAATTTGAGAATCATGTTCATTTATCTTTATTTTTTAACTATTATATTAATCCTTTACTAGAAAATATATTTAGGGGTTTCTCAAATTTTATTATTGAATAGTCTATTTGTTTACTTGCTTCTCATTCTTGTTTAACTTCTGGCTTGCCCCTCAACATTCTATAATATTTCTTGCGAACTATTAGCAATTACTCTATAGGAATTGTGACTTCTGTTAGTCTCTGCTATATTTATGTAAGAAGGAAAAAAGAGACATTAGCTAATTCTTGAATTGCATTCTAGATATTCATTTGTCACCAGAGCATTCATCAATAAAATTTTTACACATATCAATTCCTTTAGCTTTTTCTTTTTCTTGTTGATTTGTGTGCTTTCACTTTGCACTTTTCTACAAAAATATATTGCAAACTGATATTTAGCTCATTTTTTCATCATTTTAAAACTAAAGAATTATCATATTAAGAATGTAGGTTTGTTCAAAGAAAACCTACCTTGTTGGAGTTGAATAGAAAGGCATTAAAGATAATACTTTTTCTGTTGACTAATCACTTGAATAATTTGCACAATTAGCTTATACTGCTCCACTTATCAAAAACATGGTTTTTAATTTCGATGTGTACTGCCCGATATAGGCAGTACGTACTAGTCCAAGAGCCTCTCGACGCGCGGACTGCCTGCTATCAGCCGGTGCCAAATTTTTGGCCCCGTATCGCCCGATAGAGGGTTGTATTGGGAAGTAACAATCGAAATTTCAACCATTACCTACTTGTATCCTATTTTAGACGTACTGTTCAATATGGTATGCCTCGATACGTGCCGTATCGAGCCAGTACAAATCAAAATTGTGAATCTTGATCAAAAGTATGTTTCTTATTCTCCCGATTGAACATGATGTAGTGAATAGTCCTATGGTTTCTCTAAGTGTGCATTCTGGAGGTCCAGAATTTAGGAGTATATTATTGCTTTGGGTCATTGAATGATGAAATTTAGAAATATATCTTTCTAAGGGTTTTTTTTGGCATGAACTCCATCCTCTAATGTTACATAGAAAATATTTCATTGATGTCACTTACCTAGTCTTACATGACATGTCATATTTAGTAACTTATACATCCTGTTGTATTTGTCTCCTTCAAAATTCATAAAGTGTTGCCAACAACAAAACAACAGGTGAAGATTAGAAATGTTATATGATTGGTTATATTTATTAGGTTAATATAATGTTGAACTTTTCAATGTTTGTGACTTAAATTCAAACACTCACAATCGTGGTTGCTTGCTATATGGCTGAATAAGTTTAGGTGTTGTTGGGTTCATTGGTTATGTTAATGTTGTTTTGAGCTCGAGATCTTGGTTAGACGAATTTAAAAAAATCAAAGAGAATATGAAGAAGTCAGAAATTCAGAAGAAAAATATATTTTTTCATATATTTTTATGGTTTTAAATAGAATATTAAATGCAAAGCTACCTTTCTTGTGATCCTAGAGTTCTTTCGTGGTGATTGTTATTTATCATATTTTACAAGAATTAGTGACCAAATGACATTCCTATAACATGGGTCTTTCCCTCTGTTTTTTAAAATTGTCATGGAATAGTACAGTCAAAATTTAATAATCTATAAACTCCTCGACCTCCGGTCTTTGCTTATTAAGGTGTCTTTGTTCTGATGAAATTAGTGAGCAATTTATTAATGGTTTTGGACCGTTCATTTCTCAGGTAACTAGAATTGCATTATGTAGATACGGAATGATTGGATAGTGTCACTTGGTAGAACGAATTTTCTTGGCTTATGCTATCTAGTTTCAATATTCACTACTCTTTTTAGAGTGCTTGTGATCAGGATTTCAGTTATGCTCACTGATCCAGAGTTTTGTTTAGGCTTGCTTATCAAAATCAAAGGATTTATATTGGCTCTGTAAAGGGTGCTGAAGTCAAGTACCTAATCCGAGCCCTTCATGTTGAAATTATGATTTCATTAGCAACAAGTTCGTATGCATTTATGATGTAATTATTATATAGTCATTAAAACTTTCTAATATGGTATTTTATATTGCTTACTTTGTTTTAACTAAAATGATTACTCACAACATTCAAACTAAAATGACACTACCGACGGTTGAGGAAGGGAGAAGGAAGCAGGAAGAAAACTGGAGGTAGAAGGAGGCCTTCGAGAAAAAGGAAGAAAAGAAGAGGAGAATATGCAGGGTTTGTGGGCAGCAGCTACACAATAGCCTAGAGAGGGTGAACACTCGGCAATTGTTATACATAAAGCCCACCATCGCCCTATGGTTGGTCGCCTCCCTCTACCTGCAAACCTTGCGTGAGAGCCCACCATTGCCGCTTGCAGCCCTCGCGCAAGGGCCTGCTGCTGCCGCCTACAACTGTGGTCGCCCCACTTGGCCCACAGCCCTCACGGGAGGGCTTGCGGCTATCGCTTGTAGCCCTCGAGCGAGGTTTGTTGCCGCACCTTGGTCGTTAGTTGCAAAGGGACTGCACAGCCTCCTTGCACCCCTTCCTCGTCAGCATGGTCTCTTGGGCATCCTTGCCATTGGCTGCAGCCTCTATTGTTGGCTGCAGAGGTTGCACCTTCATCGCGGGTCCTGCGAGGGGGGGCGGTTGGTGCGGTGGAGGGGTCAATTGGTACAGCAAAGGCATGACTAGGGGCTAAGTGGAGGGTGGTGGCTGATGGGAGTGGAATGTTCATTTTGACAAAAAGAGGTACTCTCTAGGAAAATTTCATACTTTGGGTGTTATCTAGAAAATTCTCAAACGTAGGAGTTTTTTCTGAAAATTTACCCCATATATGTGTGTGAGAACCAGTTTTGCATTCTATATTTGATGAGACTAATTACATTATTCTCCTGGTTTGATTTAATTCTATGATTCATTTTGGATGTCGTAGTTGTTTGTGAGCTAAAACTTTATGGGTATAGTGCACCTTTGTTTTTTTTTTGCTTCTGCTGCAATAACCTATAATTCTACAACTGAACCATGAGAGATACACTGAGTATGCAGGTCCATCTGCTGAAAGGATTTGGACTGCCATGTACCAGGATTATTACCGGGATTATTTTCCACAAATCTTGTTATATGTTTTTTCTTTTGTTTCTTATTTCTTGTCCAGACATTTTGTTCAGTTATTTTTGCATTAAATGCTGAAATAATTGGAGATGATATGTTTGATATTAGTTACTGGTAATTCTTTTGTGTTATTGTTTTCCACATGCTCAACATTGCTAGTTGCTTAGATTAGGTGATTCAACAATGAGTTTACGTAGAAGCTTACATTAATTAAATTTTTCTTTGGACATACCATGTGAATTTATACAGTTTCTCAATTTAAGACTTGATTTAGTGATTTTGTATAACAATCTATGTTTTCGTTGTGTAACATTGTTGGTCAAGATGCTGTTTGTAAATTCTAGGTGATAAATTTTATTTTGCATTTGCTTTCTTATCTCTAGCTCTCATAATCTTAATTCCTTCTGAAGAACCGTGTTACGAGAAGACTGGTATAAGATTGATCTCTGGGATTTCAGTCCGCATTGCTTCTGCATATCTCCTTGAAGCATATACAGATTTGGTATCTTCCGACACACTCTATTTGGGATTCCAGTCCACATTAGCTACTGGAAAATGATTTTTAAATTTTTTTCAGTCATTAATCCCTAATATTCTTCTAAATGAGATAAGTGGGAGGGGGAATGTTTTGATTTGTTTTGTGAGCGAGCATAATTTATCCTAATTCTAGAGTGATATTCCCATCAAATACTTCCATCTGCACGAAGATAATTCTTATTTGATGATGTTTGCATGTTTCTATCCTTCAGCTTTTGTATCAAGTTATGGTCATACAATTCCAGGTTACAGCAAGAAATCCATGCCCGGTGCTTTTCAGACATGTATTATGGTTCATCATCATAAGTCTGAATGTACTGGATCAATCAGCAGAGTTAATGGACAACCTTCAGAGGTTTCACGGAAACAAGGACTTCATTGGGGAAGTTCTTTCTTTCCTTTCTCGGCCTTACCCTCGGTCAAATGCAATCAGATTATGCAAGGTAGAAATGGCTGCCACGGTAAGAGGCTTTGGTTACTACAAAATTTTGGGAATTCAAATGTATGCAGCTGTCTCTCCCTGTGCAGTAAGATTTTTTTCCTATTATTGAAGTCCTTGGTGCTTATTTGCTACCTCCACCTTTCTGCACAACAAAAATGGTCTACAGATTGGAGGAACGCCATTGTGGACCTTCTATATTGGTTTGGTATGAAGCCCCCATTCAGCACATAGGCTGGTCTTTCCATGCTAGTTGGTAGATATCATGTGTCAAGGTTGGCAACCTTCTTTCCAAAATCTTTGCATCAAAATGCAAGTGCAGCCAAAAGAAAGAGTAGGGATGTCTCCTCTAATGCTGTGTTACCTTTGCTTGGAATTGGTGTTCCAAAATCATTGCCAATAGGTTTTGTGTCCTTTTCTTATATTTGTGGCATTTCTCTACTATATTATCAGTTTTGTGTATTCTTTGCATGAGATAAAGATACTTATGTAGGTCATTAGAATCCAAAAACAAAGCAAAAAAATCCTGGATCCTTTTCTTATATACATGTGTTCTGTTGCATCTTTTTGGTGTGTCCTTGCATGTGATAACATATGGTTCTATAGTTTATTATACTCTAAAACAATTAAGTGCTACTTATGATTATGGATATATATGATTATATTTTAGGATTATTTAGATACTGCAGAATTCAGATCATATCTACAACCTCCTAAAGTACAAATGGAAGTTATCTTAACGAATTACATTTTCATATTCTGGAATGTACATTTCTGCATGCATAGACCTTAAGATATCGACTTAATCCAGTTTGGTACAGTATAATATTTTTTCATGATTGTATTATGCTTCAATCTATTGATCACAATAACTTAAATAACATTCTTTTGATCGATGTACTTCAGGATGCAGAGATTGTTTGGAACATGCCAAATACAACACTAGCAATGATGTGGAGTATCTGAAAACATAAAAATATTTGTGAGGCAGTTGCTCTACAATCCTAGACTTCTATCTGCATATCCCGCAGCTTTTGTTGAAGCAAAGCTCTGTCAAGTTGAACAACAGCGTGAGCTGAATTAGCAGATTCAAAAACAGCCCTGAAACTTTATGTTCACATTGTGAACTTGATTGTTTTTTTAATTGTGTGGATGTGCCTGTTAAATTTATGAAATTTGTTTCCATGTTGTAGTGTAGTGATGGCCTATGTAGGATGTGAGAAATGTCAGACTGTTGGAAAATCTTCAAACTCAAGGTTTAGTTCTCGTCTCTATTTATAGTCTAAAATCATTTATACTAGCCTTTGTCAAGATTTCATATATTCATTTGCTAGGTTTCTCCCACAAAGTCATGAATCAGAAAACGATTTGTGGTTCTGATTGACATTTCCTATCTTGTTGAATACTTGTGGCGAATTTTTTGGTAGATTTTTATTTTTCTTTTAACCTTTTTAATTAATATATCTTATATACAAAATATAGATCTTATTGTTGCCGGTGTTCGGCAGGTTAGTCTTATAGTTGCACTCTCTAGAAAGTTATTTTCACAATGGAAACTTAATATTGCTCTGAAGGTAAATTTGGTAAAAAATATATATATTTTTCACGAAAAGCTTTCTTTTGTTCATTTTAACGAAATGTCCCTTCATAATTTTTTTTTTACGTTTGTATCTCTGTATAAACCTATGGAGTGTGTAGTTTGGTTTAGTAAATGTTTTTTTACTACACTTCAAAATAGGTTCAAAGTCAATTT